GTGCACTGATTGAAGTTAGACACCGTCGGATGTCGACATCCGACATACTAGGACGAAACGGTTGTTCAATACTTCCTGTTCTTCGATGGTGATCTAACATTGATCCATTCATGATCTCAATCAAAAATCTTCACAACCCTAAACTGACACTTTTTGAATTATCAAAGATTTGTTTAGTACTTATAAAAATAATAACAATGATTCTAATGGTATCTTTAAGATCTGATATTCTACTGTGTATAATACCTAAATTTGCTAATTACAAGCGGAATCATATGCCAATAAAATACAATCATTCCAATTCACTCACATATTCTGCAGCAACTTGGAAGACTCTCCCGGTTCCACATTGTATGAGCATTCCATGTACCTAAATAAATGATTGCTCTGGTTGTCAGAAGGGACATCAACCTCATGGCTTCCGAAGGAACTCGGCTTTCACAATGAGGCATCATAACTCTTCTAAATGAAGATCTTCTGACTCCCAAGGTAGAGTTTAAGTGGCTTGAATTATTTTTTTATGGTTAGCGAGTTAGCTTTCTACGGGATATGGTCTTTAACCCCATGCCCAACGTTCCTCCTTTATCCGGGCTTCGGACCGTCAGTAGCTCCAAAGGGGCTCCAGGCGGAGTTGCCACATATTCTAATAGGATATCATTCAATAGTTGAATTCATGAGACACCATGGAAAACCTGGAAACACTTGACGGTCGTTTCGTATTAGTATGAGACTCCTCAGTAGTGAGCATCTACAATTCCACCTCGAGATATTCGAACCCAGGACCTATCAGTCACGCGCGCGAACACTTTACTTCTAGACCACTGAGCCGGCTGGCATCCAACGGTCTAACTTCAACCAATCTACGTATATACAATTCTATTAACCTTCAATTCAGACGTTTTCAGTTCGTATTATTGCGCGTATTACTTTCAATTAATTGTTCTATAAATATGTTTTATCATAATTGAATGATCACATAATACTTGAGTAATCATTAAGTTCTATAGGGTTACGTAATCGACTTTTTCATTATTAGTAATTAATAATCATATCATTTCAACTGGAATATAACTCACATTAGAAATTTTGATGAATATATTGGGTGTGTATCTGATCTGAATATGAAGAAAATCAATAACTTATACTAATATACCCTAATCATAAATGACATTTGGAAAAAAAAAGATAGTTTACTATCAAGTAATAACCAATTAATCAATAACACAATCTTCTCTGAAATGGTGGAGAAGATTTGTAGCTAAGGTGAATGAGTTTCATGAACTTATGTTTTCTAAGTTGTATAGTTTACTTGTCGAGGTTTTCATTGTTCTTCTGAACGGCATCATCAGCACAAACTTCAAACACTTCACTTCTACCTGAAGTTTATGCTGATGATGTCGTTCAGAAGAACGATGAAAGCTCCAAGACCAAAACTATTCAGCACAGAGAACAAAACTCCATCACAATCTTCACCTTTAATCAAGTGAAGATCATTAAATATGATAATGAATATTTACTAAGTTAAATTAATACAAACATATAATTATAAGCAGAGAGGGATTTTATGGATATTATAGTAATTTAATAGTTGAATTCATGAGTCAATTGAAGCTAGAATACCATGGAAAATCTGGAAGCACTGGACAAGCTTTTATCCTAGTATGGCATTCCTCAGCAGTGAGCATACACGATTCCACCTAGTGAGGTTATAACCCAGTGCTTCTAGGTTTTCCATGGTACCCAAATGCCCTGGTATGGCCGAGAGTGAGGAGAGTCCGCCCTCCCTCTCCAAATGCTCTCACATGGCCACGCATACATAGCCTCTGCCAGGGAAGTACTACTCACTGCCTTCTCGTGGACGGAATGTTGTTTATGGAATTAAGAGGACGAAAAGCGAATGTCCGGAGCTATAACTAGGTTGGTAGACATGGGGGGAGTTGGAAAATCCTGATTCCAAACCAATGGTGCGCATTGGCAGGCTCCAAGATCTTGAATGAACAAATGGCGTATGAACCAATCGTTGGTCACCGGCTACCATGGGACTACATCTCCTCACAATGCTCCACTGCCTTGTGGATCAGACCTTTAGGTTGAAGGCTCCAGGTGTGGCCTCCTAAGAAAACCACCTGCTTCGGTTTGGGCACCCGGGCAGTAACTCAGCCCTCACACAAATCAAATGAGATTTGTGTAGTGCATATGTATCTGGTTCCCCCTTGTACAGGTATTTATGTGTTCAAATAAATAATAAATAAGGTTATTCATGATGATATAGCTTCAATTGACTCATGAATTTAACCATTAAATGAATATACGTATAAATTTACAATGGTTCTAGGTCCAAAATTTATTGTGGTAAAAGAGACTGATTTCTTTTTTTATCTTCCATCAGATTCTGAATGAATCATTTCCAAATGTATCTCTTTTCTGTTGTTTTCCTTGTTCATTTTATAATATTCCGTATCAAGTGGTGATTCACCGAGTTCTAGTGAGAAGCTGGGATCATTGATATTAAATCAAGTCTAGTATGAACCAGTTGCTTACCGATGGGATTAGAAGATTGTTAAAGAATATTGAACTTTAATTAAAATCAGAAATGTGAACTCATGGATCCTAACTTATTGGTCTAATAGTTGAGGGTACTCAATGATGAGGAGTCATATACTAAATCAAAACATCTATTCAATGTTTTCTGGTTTTAAATAGTTTTCAAACGAAGGTCAGTTCGTAATTCAACACATCAAATTGATGTCCTTTATTTGCCCAGTTCTATCTTGTTTGTTATATGGTCAAATCTTAATTCAAAGTGGGAATCTTTTATGTATTAAACAAAAGAACTTCATTACTGTTTAGTGTATAGTACCGTCTACGCATAATACTTGACATCAATTGGCCGAATACCGTTAGCAACAGCCTTTTGTGGAAGAGAACAAACCAGCTTCCAGCTGAAGAGGAAATTAGGAAAAGACGATGGAAGTTGATAGGACATACATTACGTAAATCATCAAATTGCATCCCAAGGCAAGCCCAAACTTGGAATCCTGAAGGGAGGCGGAAAAGAGGAAGGCCAAACAACACATTACTTCAGGGATAAGAAGCATATATTAAAAGGATGAATAACAACTGGAAAGGATTGCTCAGGACAGGGTTGGATGGAGAATGCTGATGGGCGACTTATGCTTCTTCACGAAGAGTAACAGGTGTAAGTAAGTAAGTATAATACAGTGACAACTAAGATTTTCCAATTAACCAGATGAAATCTGAGTGACAAGTATGTTTTATGATCACAATGGCTGTTGTTAAGTTAAGGAGTTTATCCTAAATCTGAATACTACTTCTCAATTCATTTATGGTACAGCATATAATTGAATTTCACCAGATTTAATCAAATTCACTCCAGTAACAGAACGAATTATCCATTAAGATTATTCTCAGTACGTAACATCATAAATAAACTGTAGGGCAAAAAAGTCTTTTCCTCACTAACTAATGATGTATAATGCTGTTTGGGAACACTTATCAAATAAGACTTACTTACAACCTGAAGAAAATCTATCTCTACTAAGAGATGTACATATGAGTCAGATCGCTACTGAAATATGGTGTGGTGTATGCTATTGATGTCGACAGATATAAGTAGTATGTAACACCAACCAAAAGTGAAATGTCTGACGGCAGGAAGTTAAAAAAGTCGAATAGAAGAGAACGAGTATAAAGGATGATTGGTATGGAAACGAAGGAGCAATGAAGTCTGAGACGATTGATCAACATTATGCAAAGAGTTATCAGATTTTACTATGATGTTCTGTAATTTTGTCTTCAAATACATTCGATCGTACCCCAATGTTGTTCTCGTTCACTACAGTAGAACTAAATTAGCAACAGTAATCGATCACTAAACCACCATAATTATCAGATAAATGATTTAGTTACCATGTAATAATCTATAATAAAATAGAAAAGTATTACATCATTATCAAAGATAGTCAAATGTATTCAGATACTGAATGAAGAATTCAATAAAATTGAAGTTGTATTGTATCATTTAATGACGTAATCGGAAATTACAGAAAGACCTCAAGTATTAAATTAAAGTAGATAAATCTATCAAGGAATGAAGTTACGTAATCGTTTTGAAGATAATCATTTATATAATGAGTGCTAAACACTACTGTTTACCCTAAAAAGGAGAAGAAGAGGAAAGTGAAGAATAAGATGATAATTTAGAAGATGTTCTAAAACTATCAAGGAATAAGATATTAAGCATGACTATTTTGTTCATAGGGGATCGAGGTTTGTAATGATGAAATGCTATAGCTTCAACTATGCACAAATTTTTTTTATGTAAACCTTTTTCGAGCTAATTCTTATAACCTTGTAGGGGATTTAATTAAATTATTATTGAATCACATTTGATGGAGAAGCTTTGGAAGATGTAAAAACCTTTACATATTTAGGCAGCATCATTGATGAATACGGTGGATCTGATGCAGATGTGAAAGCGAGGATCGACAAAGCAAGAGCATCATATTTACCACTGAAGAACAACTGGAACTCAAAACAACTGTCAACTAATATCGAAGTCAGAATTTTCAATACAAATATCAAGAGAGTTCTATTATATGGAGTGGATACTTGAGGAACTACGAAAGCCATCATCCAGAAGAAAAAAGTGTTTATTAACAGTTGTCTACGCAAAATACTTCCGATCTGTTGGACAGACACTTTCGGCAACAACCTACTATGGGAGAGAACAAACAGAATTCCAGCAGATGGACAAGTCAGGAAGAAGCTCTGAAGGTGAATAGGATACGCATTGTGGAAAGCACTCAAATGCGTCATGAAGTAAGCCCTCACTTGGAATTCTCAAGGCCATAGGAGAAGAAGAGGAAGACCAATGAAGAACACATTACACCGAGAAATGGAGACAGACAGACATGTGAAGAATGAACAACAATCGGATAAAACTAGAAAAGAAGGCTCAGTAGAGAGTGGGTTGAAGAATGCTAGTCGGTGCCCTATGCCCCATTGGAAGTAACAGGAGTAAGTAAGTTATAAATTCATAAAATTATTGTGAATCAGTCTATGCCTGCTAAAAATGATCCTACCAAAGACTTTTAATGAACAATATATTTTGAGAATACAAGTTATTGACTAGGTCAGTTCTAACAATCTGTTCGTATTGTATATTTGCTAGATAATATATTGTAGAGTTTGTATGCTTTGGCTGGCAGTGAGATCATCCGCATATTTAACAGAAGGAATTTCTGATGGGAGACGGCAAACTATGTAAAAAAATGAGAAAAGTAAGGGGAAAAGATCAGCTATTGTGGTACACCTTCTTGTGCTGGTGAAGACATAGAATACTTCCCCCCCCTAAGTACAGTGTACTGTTTTCATGTGGAGAGATAAGTACACAAGATTGAGAAAAACGGGAAAGTTAAGACTAATCTGCTTGCAACGAATTTGTATGATTAATTTTTTGATTTAAAAGAATTGTCTAGTTTGAGTTTTACGAAATGAAACTACAAGTAAAAGGAGAAAGCTTTGAGACCACTGGAAAATTATTTGGTTTAACTCTTGAACATTTCTGTAAGGGTCATCATCAAGTATTTCCATAATCATGACCAATATTTCCATGTTTCTTTTAATTCACAATATATAAACTTAATAAACAATAAGAAAAGATGGATAGTGGCTAACGGTGGAATCCAGGACGCGCGTTTCGTTCTATTTGAAACTCGTCGGCTGGATGCGTCTGAATCACAGAGTCGATGTTCACTCCGAAACGCACGTCCTGGATTCTACCGCTAGATACCATCAATTTTTGCTTATACAGCTTGTGGCTTAAGGTAATATCGAGGCAATCTGCACAGGATGCACATATGCCAATAAGAGACTGATCAATTGCAGTCCTAAACAATAATAGGAAGATACAGAGAAACAATACCAAGTGAATCTAATATATAATATTTTCAAAATCTTATGCAAACGACTATCGAGCTTAGAGTATACCTAGTTTGGTCTATGATCAACTGATCTTAATTTTAATTTGATTAGACCTTCACAGTTCACAACTTCCTAATATAACATCAAGAATGTTAATAATGTGGTGTATGCTACTCATACGGACATATAGAAGTAGTATAAATCAAAAATTGAGCTTATTTATTTAAACACATAAACACTGGTACAAGGAAGCACCAAGTAGATATGCGCCACATAAATCATTTGATTTGTGTGAGGGCTGAGTTACTGCCCGGATGCTCAAACAGAAACAGGTGGTTTACTTAGGGGGCTACAGCCAGAGCCTTCAACTTAAAGGTCTGATCCACAAGGCAGTGAAGCAACGTATGCAGATGCAGTCGCATGGTAGCCAGTGATCAACAGTAGTTTCATACGCCATTCATTCCTTCAGGATACTGGAGTACATGTGCACCATAGAATTGGGATCCGGTTATAGCGCCGGACGTTCGCTTTTCGTCCTCTCATTTTCGTAAACAACACCTGTGCCACGAGAAGGCAGTGAGTAGGACTTCTCTGGCAGAGGCTGTATACGCGTGGCCGTGTGAGAGTATTTCGAGAGGGAGGGTGAACCCTCCCCGCTCTCGGCCATACCAGGGCATTTGGGGGCACTGCTTAACAGTACATATCCACAATCCCACATCAAAAGGGAATCGAACCCAGGACCTTCAGTCTTGTGCACGTAAACGTATAACCTCTAAATCACTACTGAACTATCTATTCAATAATATTAATATCTAAAAGATAGGAATAATAACACGTTATTTAACTAGAATAACAACTATGTTGATAAAGTTTTGTTCTCTGAGCTTTCATTGTTCTTCTGAACAACATTATCAGTACAAATTTCAAATAGAAGTAAAATCTTCCAATACTAATTCCACAACTTAAACTAATCAGTTTAAAGAACCAAACTCTATTAAAATCATTCATCTAAGCTACAAATCTTCTTCATTATCTTAATAACAATTAAATCTACACAGATATTAATCATTTCAAATGATCACTTATGTAACATATGCTTTAGACAAATAATCAATAATAATAATAATAATAAGAGTCAATCAGTCAGTTACAATGTAGAACCAGTCACATAAATACATTGATCCAAGTTGCCATATCTCTATTAGCACAACAAGATGAACATCGAATTCATAGAAGTATTCACCTCAATGATGATGATGATAATATATAACAGAAAGATTGTATATAAGAAAAAAGAAAAAAAAAACATTCATTGATAGAACCAAAGATATAAATCGATTTTATTCCTTAGAATATCAGAAGATTATGATTATCATTCATATTTATCATATTTGAAATGATTATTTACATTGTGTTAAATTTTACAAATAAGATTAATGTATTACTATTATTACTACTAATAATAGTAGTATTAGTATGATTATTATTATTATTATTATTATTACTATTAGTAATAATAGTAATGATAGTTTTAGTAGTATTTAACACTAATCAAAATTATTGAATACAATTCAATTATATATAGAAAGTATTCCTCAGAAAAAAACAAAACAAAAAAAAAAAAAACAAAGAAAGAAAGAAAAAAAATAATAAAAATACAATTTCATTTATTACAACTTTGTATTAGATACATTATGATGAATAAAATGAAAAGTATCTTAATTATATTATTTATACATATGTTCTATATTACATGTATATGGTATCCATCATCTAATCATTTAGAACAAACTCATTATCCATATTCAATTCATACACATTATACAATACAAGAAACGAATAGAAAATATAATGAAGAACCAATAATGGAACAAGTGAAAATCATTAAATATCATGGTAATATATATAGAAAAGTAATAGGTTTAAAATTATCATTTTATGAAGCTGAAAATTATTGTCATCAAATTTTTTCACCAGAATCACATTTAACATCTATACAATCAGATGATGAATGGGTAAGTAGATGATAATTAGTTTAAATGAGTTTATAAAATTCTTATATAATCATTTATTTATTTTAACACATAAGTATTGGTACAAGGAGGTACCAAATATATATGCGCCATATGAATCTTAATTGATTTGTGTGAGAGCTGTAATACTGCCCGGGTGTCCAAACTGAAGCAGATGGTTTTCTTAGGGGGGGGGCACGATTGGTTCATACGCTATTTGTTCCTTTAGGATACTGGAGCTAGCCCATGTGCACCATTAGTTTGGGATGCGGTTAAAGCGCCGGATATTCGCTTTTCGTTCTCTCATTTTCGTGAACAACACCCCCACCACGAGAATGTAGTGAGTAGGAATTCCCTGGCAGAGGCTATATACGCATGGCCATGTGAGAGCATTTGGAGAGGGAGAGCGGACTCTCCCCACTTTCGGCCATACCAGGACATTTGGGGGCCATATAATCGTTTAAGATAAATAGTTAACTTATTATTATAATGATTATCAGTTACAATTATATAATATATCCTTGTGGGTCAGAGTAATTTTATATTGATTTTCAGGAGAATCAGATACTGTCCAGACTTTCATGTGACAATCCAAATAGTACAGCTCAATCCTGCTTCACATGAGAACCAGACACCGTATAGGTTTTAACGCCACAATTTGAATAGCACAGCTCGATTTTGTAGTGTAACCATACAGGTACCAAGCACCCTGGTGGACCATAAATGGTTAATTTGTTATGAGACTCTAATAATGTCAAATGATTTTTAAGTTGATTTTGGTTGAATACCTTAAAATCTGTAGTCTTAAGGATTATCTAAATAAAATGTATGTTATCGTGTTATTTGATGGGAGAGGATGGAGGATCCATCTAGATAGGGTTGGAAAATCCTGATTCCAAAGTAATGTGGCACGTGAGTTCCACGATCCCGAAGGTACAAATAATGTATGAACGTATTTTTGCATACCGGCTATCATAGGACTGCAACTCCTACCGTTGCTCCACTACTGGCTTATGGATTGAATTTCTGGGTCGAAGGTTCAGGAAGTGGCCCATTGAAGAAACTAACTACTTCGGTTTGGGCACGCAGGTAGTATCTCAGTTCATACACAAACTAAGTGATGACTATTTTGTTTGGTGCATATATACTTTTTGGTGTCCCATTGTGCCAATGGTTATGTGTTTAAGTAAAATAAATAAATATCAAAGACAATGTTCATATACATAACCTCCTAATAAACTTCCCTATGATATTATGACAGTGTTTACTTTATCATATTGATTCATACTGTGATTCTAATTTAGTAAAAATGATTCCGAAAGAAGTATTCACGAATAGATTATTGTTAAGCACAAGGCCAGAGATTGGTGGAACTTAGATAAAATCTAACATTTTATGTTCACATTTACTTCCGGGATGAGCCATACTAACTGTACTACGGATGTGTATGTGGTCATACATATTCTTGTTATGTGAGTAAAGATATCGATAGACTAATCATACTACGACGAATGGAGTGAAATCTCAACCTTCTATCGAATGCTGTCTTTATTCTCAAAACCCTATATGCCACATTATTGGTTCCTAGAATAGTCAGCAATAAGTTAACCACTCAAGTTTTGTGGGACTTGTTCATAAATGAACTGCTCTACAATATTGACTAAAGACTAACTACCAAATACAAGTTGCATCGGATGAATTCATTCCAAGCATCCATTTATCCGGACAGACAGAATGAAAAGCGAGAAAACAAAGTAGAGAAGGCGTGTAAGCCAACTCGTTTTGATAAAGCATAACTCAATATTTATAACTAGACAAAAAATAAGTTGAATAGCGTAAATGGTACACACACACGATGATATAAAATGTCAAGGTTAATAAGCGATTAATTGACAAGATCCAAATGTGACTCAAGAAGAATAAGTTGGTCTGTCCGGAAGCCAGAATAACTTATGTGGGCTTCACATAATACTAGACAATCGAAAACATTAAAATAGCAATTAGGTTAATGTAACACAACAACAAAAAACAATTGCTTTTAGTGCCATATGAAGTTCATACTATAAGCATGATTGGTACATATATTAACTCTGATTTCTCACCTGAAATTAATTTGCAAACTAACCTGAAAACACTTCTTTATATTTTACAAATAGGCGATGTTATCAAAATGTTTTGGTGATACCAGTTTAACTAAAATATGGCTAGGAGGGACTGCAGACCTCATGAATCATCAGTATGTCGTTTTGCGATGGTTAGATCGAACAGCTTTCAATTACCGTCGGTTCCCAGATACAGATGGGGGCCACTGGCAGAAAATCCTGAATAAGCACCAGGGTTGTATTGTTGGTAACTTGAAAAACAATGGTCAGGGAGAATGGGACATTCAAGCTATGCGATGTGATGAACCGAAAGAGTTCATTTGCAAAGAAACAAACTTAGATCACCAAAATAAACCATGGGATACTGAAAATTCAAGACGTGGTTATATACCTCAAGAAACATCATTTAATCGCTATAATCAACCCCCATTCGGTATTCTTTCATTGCATGGAAATATGTATAAACCGAAAATACCAACAGGTCCGAAAAAGTCAATAATTGCTCACGTATCCAATGTACAGACAGCAATACCGACAACAGATAGCACAGAACAACAAGTGAACCCAGTCCCATTAGTTCAGCAAAAAATCAATAACACCACAATCACGAGGGTCAATAGTAGTGAACCCAAGTATTACGTAATGTCAACAAAAATACCAAAAAACATGACTGAACCACAAGCAAGTACAGTAAGTACATTAGAAAATAAGAAGGTAAAATTCGTTATAATTAAATCAAATGGACCGAAAACAAGTCCCGAAGAAAATAATAATGATAAAAATCAAGATCAAAGTAAAGAACAAAGTTCAGAAAAACAATCTGGGCCAGTTACAATTTATCTTCAAGGTGTTTCTGTTCCAGAAAACTAGTTTAAGAAAGAAGCCCAATAATATTTTCTTTTCATTGAACATATTCACCTGTTGATTGTTAACGCAATTAAACTGTATGGTTATTAATACTGTTTAGATAGGATTAGTTTAAATTGAATGTTTACTAGGTTAATTGGCAAATAAAGATTTTCATTTCATTTGGTCTTTTTACTAACTGATAATGACGTAAGGCTTATGCACTGCATGCATGGAACAATAAATCAGATTTGTTTAATCATAGAAACTAAGTCTACCAAATATATACTGTTTTATATCTTGCGATGAAAGTCGTCATTTACGAGATAATCTATCTTAAGAATAGAGTAAGGAGATTATGACAGAACATTTAGTATAATACTAGGCAAGGAAATCAGTATAGTAGTAGTATAGTAGTTCCAGCCACTTGGTTACATGAAGAGAGCGTTAAATTCATTCTAAAAATAGTTCCATTTCGTTTTGCCACTAGTTAACTCTTTCTTCGATAATTTAAGATCCGAACCACCAAGAGCGAATATCTAAGTTAAAATTAGTAGCAAGCTATTCGGTCCTATATAAAAATAAAAGTTTCCATAGATCTTATTCTGGTCACATCAACGAAACTGATTTTACTTTCCACTAAATGATGGATCAGGACGCTGGAAAGTACTTCAATATGATCGCTTAAAATAATAGGGCAGCTCCTTCTTTCTATTCATTATGTTAAATCAACCGGTTAGCTGATATTACAGGAGAGTAGATCATATTTACACAGGTGTTTTGATAGTTGGCTTTTAAATGACTGGACAGTGTCCTAACGGCTATAGGTACCCAACCCGTTAGAAAAATTAATTACCAACGGCTAGACGTTGTACGTGAATCGCATTATATAAAAGTCTATTAGGAAGCAAGACTGATCTATTAAGATTTCATTTTGGAGATCTCATTCCTAATGTTGTACAGTCGTATATATGTTCCCATAACAGCGACTAAATGAATATAACAGGAACAACAAATAAACCTACAGGATTTTCATTTGTATTTAAGGGTCCGGTTGAAAATGAAGTAAGATTCTCATGAAAACTAACCAGAATAATAATTATGGAATTGTATTCAGTAATGTGGTTAAATAAGTTGAAATTACGATATCGAGTACTTTTCTTTCGTACACAAAGTCCTGATTTCAGGGTGTATGGCGAAGGTTACCGTAAGATATTTTACAGATGACTAAACGATGGGTCCATCTTGGTTGTATTGATTGTCGTGATAAGACGTTCTATAATTGAGCTTCTAGTCCAACTGTAGTGAACGAGAACTCAGATGGAAAAAACAATTGATTGTTTAGTACAAAATCAATCGGTTGCTTAGACAAATATGAAAATCATACATTAGTTACATTATTTGCATTTCTTTTTTTAGCTGTCTGCAATATGTCCCGTTATTCTTCTAATTTGTATCATCTCGATTACTGTCCGATTTTCTTCCTCTTCTCTTCATTTTAATCTTCCACTTCTGACTGCTACTATATACTACTTATATCTGTAAACATAAGCATCATACATCACACAACCACTAACCTGCTTCTTTAACCATGTAGTGTAGAGTTTTTTAACCCTCCTGCACAAAATGCGCACTAAACAACCATTACAACTTGAGCAACATGAATAGGTGTACTGATAAACACACAGAGAGCAATCTATGCTCCGGTCTTGGTTGCCTGTTTATATTAATTAATAACTTTGAGAAGAGAGTTATAGAAATTCAAAGCGCCGGACATTAATGAATTGAGAAACAAAATTAAAAGTTTTTCAAACAGAACTGTTATGCTCCGATAAGCATAATGATTGGTAACTTTTGGGATCCATTTGTGGACCAATACTATGCGTATATTTTTATTTTATAACTGTTAAATAACTAAACTATTCATATTCATGTCCCTCATATTATGAGCTTTATTTTGACCTATGAACTATTATTATACGATTTACCATTCTTGAATTACTCCCTGTCTATTAATTACTAGCTCCCTTATTCACAGCCACATTTGGCTAAATCTTGTACAAATGTTGTTTCATATGTTATGGTACGGCGTGGTCTATCTGGTTGGTATATAAACCTAGTATGCTTGAAATAAATGATTCATATTGCAGAGGCTAAGATTGGTGTTCTGGAGTTAACTGGCTGGGCTATACACGAAACAGAATCAATAGGGACTCTAGACTGCTTTCACGGGTTTTATATGTCGTTGGTCTGTTCGATAAATTTACTGCTTTCTAATTGGCGGTATCATTACATTATACATTAGCACGGCACTCAAGCTATAAGTTATAACAAGAACAAATTAAAACAAAGTACAATCATGTTCAAATGTACTTTTTTTTTATATTAATTTTCAATAACTAATACCACTGTTTATCCACATATAGATCACTCACATTCAATCAATACATCCTGGAGTTATCTTTACATGATGAACAGGGCATTTTAAATAACACCAGTTTAGTAATAAATAAATATATAAAAAAAAAAATTCTAATTACAAAATTACACTTCAAAAAGTCTATTAAGTATCAAATACACAAACAAGACAAAACATAAGTCGACATGTACAATAAATTACAATACTAAGAAATACTGCATTTGCTAAACAAGTTAATTGTAATCGTATATCATTCCATGTTTCTAATCGACCAAATAATAAACATAATATAAAATTTATAAGACCAGTTCGTCGTTTACGTTTTGATGTAATAGATTTACGTTGAATATTAGATTGTGATATATAATTAGATAAATGATTATTTAAATGATAATCATGTGTATAATAATTAGAATTATTTGATTTATAATGACTAATACTTGTTAGACAACTTAAATTATCATCATCAGCTCGACAAGATTCAATCATTTGTTGTTGTTGTTGTTGTCGTTGTTGTTGTTGTTGTGATGGTGGTGGTGGTGATGGATGTTGTTTCATTGGATTGTCATGTGTTGAATATAAATTAGAAGATATAAATGAATGTCGAGAATTTACATTCGAGTATTGAGAACTAATAACACTAGGGGAAATATTATTACTACCAGCACCGCCACTGCCGCCACCGCCACCGCCACCACTTAGAACAGATGGTCGAAATATATGATTATATTTATTTGTTGAATATAATTTTGTATTAGCCAATTCATCTTCAAGAGATTTTCTACTTGAATTTAAAGAGTTCATTGTATAATTTGTAGAATAATCACTTGGTGTTGAATAATAACTTATATTATCTATTGTTTGAAAACATGGTAATTTCACATGACTAGGCCATGTATTTTTTAATTCTTTCTGTTGTAATATACAATCTTTATGAAAGAATGATAACCATATTCGAATTCCATAAATAATAATAATAATAATAATGAATAAAGTAAACAATACAAATATACCTAATAGTGTAATATGGTTAAATGAATTAGACCATTTCATCTTATTATTCATTACATTAATACTATCATTATTTATTAATAATGATAAAAGAATATTTAATGAAATTAAAAGCATTGAAATATCATATAATAATATTAATGATTTTAAACCATCCTGATAGATTGAATAATATTTGTTCCTATGCTTTAAACTAGTCATAGTAACAAGGATTATTTGTAAACAAAACATCAATAAATTAAACCATAATTGACCAGTATTAGAAAGAGAGAAATATTTTGATAATATTAATAATTCATGACAATAATTTCGTAAATAAATTCGACAATTATTAGACCAAATTAATTCAATAAATTTATATAAATAAGATTTATGAATGGTTATATATATAAGGCATGTTTGTTGATTAATTTCAATTAGAATTGAACTAATAATAATATAGATAAAACAGAAAATATTAAGAATACGTAAAATAATCAATAATTCATACCATGTAATGATTTTAAATAAGATAGAATTTTTACGCATAGTGATTGTTTGTTGTTGTTGTTGTTGTTGTTGTTTTGGTTGTTGTTTAGTATGCCACCATTCAATGAAACTTGGTAATAATTTATAATCTAACTGTTAGAGAGAGAGAGAGAGAGAAAAACAAAAACAATAAAATAATTAAAAGAAAAGAATCAAGTGAAGTTTTATTTATTTTATTTTAACACATAAGTATAGGTACAGGGAGGTACCAAATACATATGCGCCACACAAATCAAAATTGATTTGTGTGAGGGCTGTGATACTGTCCGGGTGCCCAAATCGAAGCAGGTGGTTTTCTTAGGGGACCACACCCCGAGCCTTTGACCTGAACGACTGACCCACAAGGCAGTGGAGCATCGTAAGGAGATGCAGTCCCATGGTAGCCGGTGACCAACGATTGGTTCATACGCCATTTGTTCCTTCAGGATACTGGAGCCAGCCCATGTGCACCATTGGTTTGGGGTCCGGTTAAAGCGCCGGACATTCGCTTTTCATCCTCTCATTTTTGTAAACAACACACCCGCCACGAGAAGGCAGTGAGTAGGACTTCCCAGGCAGAGGCTATATACGCATGGCCATGTGAGAGCATTTCGAGAGGCAGAGCGGACTCTCCCCACTCTCAGCCGTACGAGGGCATTTGGGGGCATCAAGTGAAGTTATTGTCTATAAAGGAATTTTCATTCAAATTTGTATTTGTTTATTTATTTAAACATATAAAGATTGGTACAAGGAGACACCGAATATATGTGTGCGTGGGCTGTGATACTGCCGGGGTGCCCAAACTGAAAAAGCTGGGGTTTTTTTTAGAGGGCCCCATACCCGGAGAATTCGACCTAAAGGTTTGATCCACAAACCAGTGGAGCAATGTAAGGAAATGGCGTCTCATGTTAGCCGGTCACTGATAATTGCTTCATACACCATTTGTTCCTTCAGGATCCTGGAGCCCATGTAAACCGTTGGTTTTGAATCAGGTTTTTCCAACTCCCCTATATTGATCCTCTATATCCACCAACCCGGTTAAAGCACAGGACATTCGCTTTTCGTCCTCTCAATTTTGTAAACAACAATAATACCGCAAGAAGGTAGTGAGTAGGACTCCCCTGGTAGCGGTTGTATGCATTTGGAGAGGGAGAGCTGACTCTTCCCACTCTCAAACATACCATGGCATTTGTGAGTTCAACACTTTAGTTACTGTTCTGTTTATTTAGTGGGCGAGTGTTACATATTAGTGTAATTTCAAATTGTTTCATTTAAAATAGCTGGAGTTATCCACAGCTATCTGCCATGACCATGTCTATGTAGCACAACTGTCATGCCAAACAAAAACCACAAGTGCAGTGAAAGCGAGGGGTTGCATGAAACAAAATTCCTAATGAACTACACTTTAGTATACAGCACTCATCTACCGAGCTAAAAAATAATTGAAAGTACGGGGTAGGTTACACTTATAGATTTTTGTAGGTAACTTAGGAGTTCTTGAGATATGAATTCACATGACTATCTTTATCATTATGCATCAGTATAGCTACCGAAAATCCCCTTACTTTAACACCAACTATGAATCCTAACTCGAACCATATATTACTGGCCATAATAAGCAATTTAACATGTAAACATTCATTAATCATATCAAATCTGAACATACACCAGAATTTTATTACTTTCTTATCATAAATTGTTTTAAGAATGAATGTCACCTTTTGATTGGTTGGTGTTTTATTCACAGATCGTCGTAGTAGTTTACTTCTACCGAAACTCCTACAAAAACCTTGATACACCAAAACCTCTTCTACTATCGAACACCATAGTTTTATTCAAAGAATACATCATTTATTGGAACCTGCCAAATAGGTGGATGATTAATATAGCATCTATTCAGACAATCTAATTACATTAATCTGATGCAACCAACAATAATGTTAGTACTTCGCAAAGCTTTAGTAAGGTAAATAGAACTGCAAGTGGAACTGTCAGTTTTATTTCAGCTTGAAAGCGCCCCAAAAACGAACAACTCGTAACAACGATACTATATAAAAATTAGAAGTTTCAGAACAGTTCAGGCGCTGAGAAGCCAATTACAAGCTTGCAGAAATGAACAGTCATCGAAATTTCTACTTTATAGGACAAAGGACGTGGCCTTATATAATGCGACAGTAAAATACGATCCAACAAAGGTTAACTGAGAGCACGCTTTCAGTGACTATTGAGTTTAGGGATGATATGTTTATTATTAAATCTTGTAAGTAATAATAACCAATAAACTTGCAGCTTTTGTACGATAATCTGAAATTTAGTAAACTGATTGAGTGAAAATTGAAGTACAACTTTAAGATTAACAGAATAAAAATTTGTTGAATATGAAATAAAAGGTCTAGCAAGTGAAAACCTAGTCTCAAACCATTGTAATCTTGACATCTGTCAAAAAAAACAAAAGCAAATCAAGCATAATAAAACGTGGAATTTCAGTTGTAGTCCTATTATTCTTATACTTTTGAAAACAAGTCGTTCTAGAATATTCATGAATTCGCAGATTGTTGCTTGGTATTTGATGGATTTATTCAGGAACTACCGTAACTTGTTTTCAACGAGGAATGCTCATATGGAACATTTTAATGGCCGGAAAATTGGAATAGTTATGATTGAGACTAGTAAGCACATGCCTTAGAATTTGACAACTGATTTTAATACACTTTCTTATTCAATAGTGCAACACAGGAGGCTCAACATTTGAGACTGTGGCGGCGGTGTGCTTTAATAAACTAAACCTTAAAAATCCAAATGCTTTAGAAAGTAACGATATGAATGGATAGTTAATTTGTTGAATTGAATAACAACACGTCCCTAAAGGTCATTCTATTTAACGTCCACCCGAAAACATCGGGTTCCTTCAAAAATAAACCACCAATTATTTACAGTTCTCCGCATTGCACTTACTGGTAGATAAGGAGATACAAATGGGTGGGAGGTTTTACCCTCACATAACAGCAATAAAATCATAACCGTAAACAGTAGGTATTAAAAATTATTGAATTTGAGTGGCCTCAATGTAACATATATATACAATGAAAAATTGCAACCTACCTGCCTAAGTTTATTATTAACTTTTCGATAGCAACTGGAACACAAACCATATTCCAACTCCAGCAGGCGAGTGTATTCTTTTATTTCTTCATCCGATTTGTCGTTTTTCGGGGTATACTCCGACAACTTTTGGACAATAGTATTTTGATTACGTGTACAGTCCGGACACAAAACATCAGAATGTGATGAAAACGTACCGTGAGCCTAAAGAGATCAAAGGTAAATATAGATCTTACCTTATTGAAATTAACTGGATTTAACTCGGCAATGAACTGAGATGGTATAACTTTGTTGTAATCACCATCACTTTTAAATCCATTATACTGACCACATTGATGACAAACAAACGATGTCTTTCTACTCCACGATGTGAAGGCAGTATGCCCACAAAACCAACACTGAACTTTCAAATAAAAAAACCTGACTACTAAAACAGTGAAGGTACTAAAAAGTCCCAGACACAATGCTAAAACCAACATCCTGAAGTATAGTGAGAAACTAGATTCTGTGTGATAGATGATCGATCAACCAATTATATAATCTTATGACCAGAATTAAACTGTTTGCATAAAAAAAGAGACAACCATCAACTCAGTTCCATAAAAATAACTTAGAACTTCAGTAGGTTGATGTCAAGTTTTTGTTCGAAAAAGACAGACGGATTGTGTTAGTCCTGGGAATAGTGGTCTCCGTTGATCTACCTTTCTCTTGAAAACGTCGACAAAGCTTCAAACACGTATTGATTTAGGGATTTCCATTTCTTGACAACTCGATAGGAAAGTCGATAATCAGATGAAGTTTCAGTGTCGTCGTGAATTCTGTATTAGAAGGTTAGAAAAATGAAGGCTTATTAAACGCAAATTTATCGTGAATTTGAAAATTTTGATCAAGTCATCTCTGGCCATTCTATTAGACAAAGGAAACAGGACTAGTTTACCTCGTTTATTGTCATACAGGAGGCTTTCGATCCTGGGAATTAGCCAAGTTACAGTTCTTTGAACTTTTTACAACAGCACATTGTATTTTTTAAGTAGGGGCTAGCTGCTTGCATGCGACTCACGAGTTTAGGACGAAGGAACGCTGAATATGAAGTCAAAATTCTTTTAGCATCGACATGGCCAAATGGTCTACGTATTGACCACATGTTTATAGAACCTTTGGCAACTACCGCACGGCAGTATGCAGTAGTTTTTAAGTCTTGTCTAACGATGACTACTACGTCGTTGTATCTGGACAACAGGTAGCTCGATGTTATTTACAATGTATATATCTGTAATCTACCTGCTTCGGTTTGGGCACCCGGGCAGTATCACAGCCCTCACACATATCAAATGAGATCTGTGTGGCGTATATGTATTTGGTGCCTTCTTGTACCAATATCTATGTGTTAAAATAAAATAATAAAATATCTGCAATCTGATGACCCATATACACCATAATGCACTACAATGTATTTATCGTCAACTGTTAAATTTTAGACTATTCACATAATTGCTGCAGGTCACTTTGAAGCTCAAAACTGTCACCACTTTTTATTGCTCTCCAAATTTCGATATCCTCAGTACATAACAAAACAGATAAACTAGGAGAGTTACCTGCATACAGTAGGAAAAACATTGGCCCCAAAACTGTACTGAGGCACTCGGCCAAACAACCTCACTGCTGGACAACTTGGGATATATCCATACTCCATGTTGACGCCCAACTAGGAAATCTATTATCCACACATATAAGTTGCCCCCGATGCCAATATTACTTAACTTAAATAACGTCCGGTTATGTGAAAAAGTCAAAAGTCTTACTGAAGTCAGCAACGACTACATCTATGGTCAACATTTGATTTTTGGAGCGCACCAGTTCTCACATGCTACTAGTAAGCTTGCGAGACAGGAACAACCTGTCATAAATCAGTGCTGCTTTTCAGGAAGAATCCGATTTCCGTCTAAATACTTAAACAAAACTGGAGCAATTCTTCCTAACTGAAAGTAGTTCAATTACAGTAAAAACAGTGGAACCGGTGCTTTCAACGTGGTATGGTCCACCAGGGTGCTTGGTACCTGTGTGGTTGGTTGCACTACAGGACGGTGTCTGGTTCCTCTGTGAAGCGGGATTGCGCTATACTGTTTGGTTTATAAAATCTAAGCCTGAGCGGTGTCTGGCTCTCCTGTTAAACCTGGTTGAGCTGTACTGTCCGAGTTGTCACGTGCAAGTCTGGACAGTGTCTGGTTCTCCTGAAAACCAATGTAAAATTACCCTGGCCCGCAAGGGTATATTATATGACTGCGAATCCTGCTTTGGTTTGGGAACCCGGACAGTATCACAGCCCTCATAAAAATCAAATGAAATTTATGTGGCGCATATGTATTTAGTGCCTTCTTGTACCAATATGTGTTAAAATAAATAATTAATTAATTAAAAACTATAATCTTGATGTGTTAAAGTCGATTGAAACTATAAATTCAACTCAGTCAGATAAATACCGCGAGTTATATCAGGAAACGGATCAGTAGGAGAGTTATAGTCGTTTGTGTCTAGCCAGAAAGTATTTTGTACAAGGGGAGCATGCAGAGTAGCGTGGCCGAGGACTGGATTAAGCGAAAGGAAAAGGTAAGTCGACGACACAGAAAGCGCACACAATGCACTTGCTTTTATTAAGGAGAACAATGAACATCAACCAGCAGTAACATTAGCCTCAAACTATGGCAATCCTGGAATCGAAAGTAGAAGCACATGGTTTAACCGCTAGAGATATAAGTTTAAACGAGTCACAAGGTCGCGGCGGTCGGCAGCTAAAATCAAAGACCTGGGTTGTTTATAAATGACAGAAGTTCAAGCATGGTTTACAGTCTTAGCAATTTTAACAATTCAAACTCTATTGTTTTCTCAATTTAGTTTAATCCTGTCAAGTTAAAGCATCCTAAAAAGTAATAAATAAATCACTTCTCTGAACACCCTCAAAAATTATTGAGTTACTGATATGCGACGGTCTACACGACTACTTACTACCCATAATTTTTTTTTCACCCTAACAGCACGGTTTCATAGAAAGTCACTCTCGTATAACCAACCTGCTGACCGCGGTGGAAAGATGGACAACCATCCTTGATCGCCACTGGAAGGTTGACTCACATACCTTGGCTTCGCAAAAGTTTTTGATAGAGTCAACCATATATGTCTTATCAATAGGCTCAAACGAATAGGTACCAAATCATTTTTACTTGTTTGGCTCATTTCATATCTGAAAATTGACATTTTAAGGTTAGGGTAACTCCACTTTCTCTCAGGCTATGGAATGTTCTAGTGGGGCCCACTACGGTTCATTACCAAGATCTCTTTTCTTGATCTATACAAACGACCTCCCACAGCAGGTATCGTCAGAGTTATTACTTTTTTGTGATGATGTAAAACTCTGGAAAGAAGAACGCAACCAAGAGGACAAACTGGCACTGCCGGAGGATCTGACTTGACATCAAAGTTGGGCAGATAACGAACTTATCTTTAACACTTTCAGGTGTAAAGCAGTCCTTCCGAGACATGTTGCAGACTACGAATACAGCTCAGGTTACTCATCTCTAGAGGTGTCCAAAGCTGAAATGATCTAGGAGTGTTGATACCCTACGATCCGAAGTCTAACGTTATTCGAGTAAACCTTGCACTGATAACACTAAAACTCACTTTCTGCCATTTCGATGAAAGAACTTTCCGCTTAATCCTCAACGGTTTTATTCGAACCCACTTAGAGTACCGAAAAGTAACATTTCCTCCCACACTCAAAAAGATAAGGAAATTCTGAAACGTATCCAACAGTTATACACGAAATCAGTTCGGGAACTCAAATTCAAGTCTCGTGAAGAGCGCCTCAAGTCTCTGAACCTTTTCCCATTAGGATAAGGGCGTCTTAGCGGCGACTTACGGCATTATAAAAACGTTTGGGCATCCCCATTAAACTTAGTCCCATCACAAACCATAGGGGTGACACCCGGAAACTGGAAACTCAACACAGCAGAACGGACTGTAGACACCATTTCTTCTCCTTAAGAGTAGTTAAATGTTATAATTCGCTGCCGGTTTAGCTAGTCCAAGCGATTTCGCAGGACACCTTCCTTTTTTTCTAGGTTCTTACCTGGAGGCATTGGTAATCCACTGCTATTGGATAGGGAAGCCCGTTAAGTGAAAGCTTATTCTATGGTGTTCAGAACCATATTCTGCCGAAGATGAAAATTGGTCAGACTGCTTTGGGAGGAAAACCTTGAACGTTTAGTTGCATTAGATTCCATTCGTTGAGGAGCCAGTATTTCTAAATGACTGATTGAATTTATAAAAGGAGTGCGGGTGGAAGCAGGTTTGAATTATATGGTATTTACCTTATTTCGACATTGTTAAATTGTATCTAATTTCATCCTTGTAACCTGGATAACTACAGTAGTTCTGGCTGCGTTTGTCTCAGTAGAGTACAATTCACTCAAGCTAGATAATAAAGGTAAGTAGTTCTCAATATACACAAAGGGAAAACAAAGATTCTCCGATGCAACACAGCATACACCAATCCAATCACAATTGACGGAGAAGATTTGGAAGATGTAAAAACATTTACATATCTAGGCAGTTTCGTTAATAAACGCGGTGGATCTGATGCAGATGTGAAGGTGTGGATCGGCAAAGCAGGAGCAGTATATTTACAACTGAAGAACATATGGAACTCAAAACAACTGTCAACAGACACCAAGGTCGGAATTTTCAAAACAGATGTCAAGACAGTTATTTTTTATGGGGCAGAAACCTGGAAAACTACGAAAGCCATCCTCTAGAAGATACAGGTGTTTATTAACAAATGTCTACGCAAAATACTTTGGATCCGTTGGCCAGACACGACCTACTGAGGGATAGAACGGACCAGATCCCAGCCGAGGAAGAAATCAGGAAGGAGCTCTGGAAATAGATAAGACACATATTGAGGAATGCACCCAAATGCGTCACAAAGCAGGCTCTCATCGCTTGGAATCCTCGGTGCCAAAGGAAAAGAGGAAGACAAAAGAACACATTACCTCGAGCAATGAAGACAGACATGAGAACGAACAAAAATCGGATGAAACTATGAGGGAAGGCCCAGTAGAGAGTGAGTTGGAGAATGGTGGTCGATGGCCTATGTTCCATTGGGAATAGCAGGCGTAAGTAGGTAAGTGGTTAGTAAGGTATTTTTAGTTTACTCCCCTGTTGCTAACAACAGCGAACGATTTGATAATTAACGTTACAGACCTTACAACTTTCTTAGTTGGAAAGTACGCCTGATATTCTCATTCCATATAGTTGCTTGAAGACCTTATATTTCTGTTGAGTCTTATATTATGCACCGTTCCCTTCTATCTCAACTACCATCGACGAATGCATCTGATATTTTGCGTTACGAAAAATTGCTTATCTAGGCCGACTTATGGGCATCCGCATCAGGTTATCGGCAGGTTCATTGCAATATACTTGCAAAGACGTACAGGTAGATGTTCTTTATCTTCAAGGGGATTGATGGTGAGGAGGAAGAAACAATTCGACTGAGCTAGAGAAAAATGAACCTGTGAATTCTGGGTGTTCATAAAAATTGTGAAGGGATTTGAACAAGATGTTCGACCAAGCTCGTCCACGAGTAATATTAACCAACAATTAATAGGCATTATCGCTGTCAAATGCCTATGAAAACGTTTGTTTAGCGAGGCTATTTACCATGACATTTCCCCTCGCCTTCATAGTGAGATAGTGAAAACCAAAAAATGTCCCCAAGAACAATTTGGAATCAAATAAACTGGCTGTTTGAATTTGATATTCTGATGGCCTGATAACTTTATCAGTACACAGCTGTCTCCACCTATACTTAGGAGTTGCACGATAAATCAAAAAATAAGTGGATGTGGCTCCTTTGCCACCCCTTTCGTGCCGGTAGTTACCCTCCCCCCGTTCAATTGGTAGAAGTGACTAGAGTATTAGTGAATGTCTTTATTTATATACTGGATGTTTCAGTGGAGCGTGAGGTTGTCTTTTAAAACACATAAAGATTTTCAGCATTCTATAAAAACAAAAGAAAATATAGAACCTATACAAAGTACGGTAGCGAGTGAGTACTTGAGCCACAATGTCCTGACATTTACTTGGATGTTTGATACCAACCCTTAACAAATCAACTTAAGTTGTTACACACTCACCATTTACACATTTATTTCCGGTCTTCTTGGAAAATGAGGTTTGTGAATGGGTGTTGAGATATAGCTCTAGTAAGCGTTCGTGAACTTTGCGAAGCTCGTTTAGTGCATATCAAAAAGCCTGAATAAAACGTCCTAACAGTGTCAAGCTGTGAAAGTTTTTCATTGATGAAAAACCATAGATTTTTAATAGAACATTTAAGTAAATTAAAAAAAATAAATCTGATTCATTTACGATCATTCAATAGAAGCGTTATAGCAAAACGTGTATGAAGTAAAAAGCATCAAATACATGCGGTCATGCTTAAATAATTGTGTCGGTTTCATGGCTTCTTTAGGCTACTTTCATGTCTGTTAAACACCGTTAAGTAACTGAATGTTAGATGACCGTTGCTTGTTCCCAAATATAAGTGGAAAGAGTTACCTCCTAAATATGGAATGTTCAATTGTTTGGTGCGTATCTGTTTTTACCAGTAGTAAGGTACGCTTCAGCGCAGACGAAATGTACGAAAGCAAACTAACAATTGAATGACAGCATTAGAACCCGTTAAAGGTAATACGTGGCATACCTAGCAATGTTAGTAGACAAATTAGAAGGAAATATGCGATAAGTATATGATGCAAAAGAGAATCTCTTTGGCAAACTCAGCAAACTGGAGAGGTCAATCAACAAGAACGATCAAACTAGCAACTGAGGTTTGGTATCAGTGGAACAAGTGATTAGGTCACTTTAGAGAGGTTAGTAATAGACGAACCACACTGAACCTGAAGTACATGGAGAAACGACTTACAGACGCTCCCGAACATGCTAACCCGTAAAATTATGGTCTAATTCGATATTACTGCATTATCTTTGGTACTATAATAATAGACCGAATCCGAAAATTGTAGATTAGTCTCATCGTGACTACCTAATCTATAAAATCTTAGATGGAAGTCACGTTATCCTCCACATTGATTCGAGTTGGACTTGTATCGGTTTCGATCAAACCAACTGCCAATGCGGTCAAAGTTTTGGGACCACTGACATTTAATTTGCATCCAAATTTACGCCTATGATGAATAAAGCAAAACAAAAGAACCAATAGTTAGAAGCAACAATGTTGTCTATTAATGACACTGACTTGCAAACTTCAAGTAACTTTTTGGCAGCCTGAATTGCCGCAGGGACATATCAAGCAGTATGGCCAAATGTCCAGCAATTACATCCAACAGGCCTTTCATAATCCTTGGACAAGTATCGTCAGGACCACCAAACTTATCGTGTTTGAGATGTTTGAGCAATCGTAAGGCATTTCCTTCTTCAATAACTACAGGATCCATCGACAAGCTGATATTATCATAATTAATTGTTGGTCGTTCCCCATGGCAGGGAGAAAATACTTTGCTAAAATATTCTGAACAAGCTCTGGCTTTTGTGATATCGTTTCTTGGCGACATCAAAGGATTTTCTTTTATCACAAGTAGTAGGGTCCCATCACTCCCTAAAGTTAGCCACTTCATGTACGAGAATAACCATGTAGTTTCTTAGCTTCGTCAATAAGTCACTTTGATCACCCTCATTATATAAATTGTATAAATCGAAAAAACTT